CCAGTGCCACGCCCCAGTAAAACCATTTAGCCAAATAAGAAAAACGTACCCAAGAATACAATAAAAAGTAAATCATGAGTAGTCAACCTGCCAGCCAGCCCGATAGCATCGATCTTGCCTATGATATGTGGGCGGGCCAATTCGAATTCGTAGGACCCACAAATCAGCAAAGCAACAAGAACAACAACAACAACCTGAACAACAGCAAGTGTAAGATTGGAGCGCAACAAAATCGGAAACTATCTACGGATAGTCTGGAGGACCTGAATCTGAGCTTTAACACAAGTGCAACGCAGAATCCGCTGAGCAATACCTACAGTTTGGGAGTCACCGGCGGTGCTGGGAGCGACTACTGTGGTTTTGGAAAGCACCCGCCAATACTCATCGATCAAGAGACATTTCTTAGCCTAAATCCAGCGGACTTTGAGGACATTGTGCCATCCAATTCGGAACCCAACTCGCTGGTCTTCATCGAAAATAAGCTGGAGCCGAACAACAACAGCATCGAGCCGAACAACAATAATCATATCCACAATAATAACAACAATAAGATTTACAATTTGGAGAATTTGACGAGTAAATTCAATAACAAAACCAACAATACAAACACGAACGGTTTCAAATTGGAGAACCTGAAGAATTTTAAGAACAAACTACTCTGTGATTTCGAGGATACCAACGGCGGGGGAGGAGGTGGGAGCGGCAGCGGAGGATCAGGACCTGTTGGCATGATGAATGGGGCCCTCAGTGCCGAGATCTGCGATAATCTCAACGAGCAAGTAAGCAGTTTTCACTAATTCCCCCAATTCCGGGGGTAGTTTTATCCAAAGTTCAGGGTTCATTTGGGACGCCCCCCTTTTTTAGTTCGCATGTCACGACATCTGAGTAATATATAGTATACGGCCTGTCAATATTGTCCAGTCCATTCACTATAAATAAGCAGCAATTGAATGCAATTTGCTTTAGTCTAACTTTGAATTGCCTTAGTTCAACTGTTTTGTTCAGTTCGGTGCTGGGAAATTTCATTCTGAATTGACATTTTAATCAATTGCTACTGCAAGGCTTAGTAAAACAATATGCTGGAAACCAACGAAGTGAGTTTAAGTTAAGTGGTGGGAAATTCTATCGAAGGTATGGGTCAAATGTAGAAAAAATTACATTAAATTACCTTAAATTACCTTAATTAAACAAAAAACTGTAGAGCAAAAAATGATCAAAAAGTTGGGAAAAAATGAAATAAATAAATCTTTTATAGATTTAAAGAATGCCAAGAAATACTAATAAAAGAGCTCTTGGTATAAAATTAAAAAATCATTTAGTTTTTGTATTGAAAACAATTAATTTGGCTTAACTTGTTTTGACCATATGCTTGCACCTTTTAGAAAATTAATTGGTTTCGCAAACGTTGTTTACGATTTCCTTGACTTATTTACCTTTCTCAACGTCAAAACTGGGCCAAAAATAAAATTTCAAAGTCGAAGAACTTGTTGTATATGCCATATAATTTGCCAGACATCTGCTAACTATAAACAAAAATATACTGTAGTTTTCGTCAAATGAGATCATCGGCCACAAATCATCAGTGAGAAAAGAAAGGAAAATCTAAACATACATTTTGAGAAATTAGTTGACGAAGCCAAATTTAATGATACAAAAAACTGTAACAAAATTGATGATTAGACGTGAAGTTAAAATGTGACAACGAAAGTAAAAGAAGCGAGCTCATGTGGATAGAAAGAAAAGTAAGAAAAGCCCTTTGGACGTGATTTTCTAATGCTATTGCCCTAGTTTCAGGGCAGTGAAGGAAAAGAATCTTCTATAAGCTAGTGATGCAATTCCATCATTTTATACCACCAATTATAAAGATTATTTTATTGCTACAAATGGGACTCCAAAGATTCCGCTGCGTTGGAGGCCAGTTTCTTGCTTCTGTAAAGCGATAAGCCTCCAACGGATGCTAGATTTGTTTACTATACTGGATCTACATAAACTAGTGGGGAAACTCCTATGATAAATGAATCAATTGTAGGGCATTGTATCGCCGGAGGAGGAAGCTGCGAGTGTGTGTTGCAAGTCAAGATATTCGTTTTGGGGTCAAAGCTAATGCCGATTATATTGTCAGAGTGCTTCCAGTTTTTCCAATTGTTTTTCATTTCGTGATTTACGAGCTGTTAATGTGTAAACTAAAGCAAGGAAAACTATTTGGTCTAGAGAGCTGTAATACAATTTTGGTTCCTTCGGTGTCTAAAAAATTATCTCTTTCTAAGGCTAAGAACAAAAGAAGCTTACAAATTTAACAAGTTTTTAATGCGATTAATGTAAATAATCTAACATTTATTTCGGTTTTATTTTAATCGCTTAGAGTTATCTCATTAAAAAGGATTTTAGTACTTCAAATTTCTCCACGATATTTATAGCAAAGCAAACCAACTAGCGTTAAACCTTTTCACATTATTACACATTTGACTTGTTCAAATTGCACCTTTCTTTCGGATACTTCAACGAATGACAAAGAGAACATTTCTAGTTTTCTTCCCCCAAAATTTGTTCCATTTTGGGGCAACCTTCACGGGAGCCACAACATCTGTTGTTTGTTTCTGCACTTGCTGTCAGAAAATTCCCATCATTTAGTCGCACTTGCCTTACCATCAACTTGTCAAAATGAGACTGAAAAATCAAAGGCCCTCAAAGAGGCCGAAGTTATTAATGACCCCAAGAACACCGTTTCCAGACAGAAGAAAGAGGAAAAGTGACGAGCCGAAGAAAAGCGCATTTAAAGAAACCGTAGCCCAACCACTTTTTTTATACCCAGTACAATATTGGGTATTTTAAGTTCCGATGTTGTATCTAAAATTAAAAAAATAAGTCATTAATTTTAAATATATATTTATCAGCAGATTAATTTAGACATGTTCGTTGAATATATGATCTTTCAGCAGATAAACTTAAATTTACTTACTATCTAAAATATAAAGATTTAAAAAAAATTTCTTGGAAACTAATCAGCTACCAAGATTATTTAGATAAATAAAAACACATAAATTTTAGTTTCACTGTATCCATTAATAAAATCTAGAGCACCAAAAAGGATGCATTAATTTTTAAGATCTGATGGCAGGGAATTAGTAGTCGACTAAAGCAAATCTTACTTGTGTGTATATATGTACAACTCCTCGTCACTTGTTACTCAATTTGTCTTACACTTTTATTGTTTTCTCTTTATGCCCTCAGCAACATTTTATTTTTTATTATTTTTCCTGTTGTTGTTGATGTTGTTGTTGTTTATGTTCTGACCAAGCTGTCTCTGAATGAGACGCGACTTCTGTTTTTCTGCTATTTTTTTTGCTTCTTGGTCTTTCCGTATTTTTTCGGAAGAATTCGGTAGACATTTAATTTAAATTCTAGTTTCTATATAATATGCTTAGTTTTTTTGACATGGTTCATTGTACACATACCGAGCCCCTAATTGAGACCCCCGCCATATCGTACTTTTTCGGTTGACTCAGCAAGCTTATTCTTCTCTCAGAACATTTCTCACTCTCTGAATATTTCTCCATTTCTATTTTGTTTGTTTTTGTGGGGCCCTAGGCCCATTTTTCAGTACTCGCCGTGCCGCCTTTGCTGTCGATTGTGTTTTCGTGTATCCATCGGTTTTCAGTGCTGCCATCTCTATTCAATATATAGTATCATACTCTCTGTAAATCTAAAACGACAAACTGCGAATTGTCACCAGCAAATTGCATTTAATTAAGCCTAATTGAACCCTATGCCGCACAGTTTGACAGCGATTGGGCGCCGACCCCAAATAAAAGCCGCTTGTAACCGCTAATTGAACTTCTCAATTGACATTTCTGAATGTTTTCGGTGCCGAGCGTTGGGGGTGGTGCAATCCGGGGAAAGTGACGGAATTAAATTAGTAGAAATCCCGCTTCGATTCTCATATAAGTTGTGCCCAAAGTAGTCGCACATTAAAGTATGGGGTAGAAAATCACTCTCATTTCGAATTGCCAATGGCAATTGGTAAACTTCTCTAGTTCATAACAGTAAATTATGAATATTTTCTTTCCTCTTTATTAACAAATTAATATTGGGCTATCTTTTAAATTAATTTAATGTATTAAAACTATTTATTTGGTTTTTACTAACCAAACCAAAAGTCACCCTGTTTTCTTATCAAAGCTCACTGGCATCCTGTACTGCAGTCATCTTGCACATTTCTTATCACCTTAAGCAGTCTTCTGTTTTTGTATTCCCTACATGTTTTTAAATGCGCGGGCGGATCATGAGTAATTGTGCAAAAAGCCGCAGCTAGCAAATCTGTGGTGGCGAAAACAGATTTTTCCACATGCCAGCAAATCGTTGGCCAAAACTTGAATGCAAAACTCTAACAGTGTGTGTGCACGAGTCTTTTTTCGCCTTCTGCTGATGTAGCTACATATGGGGCGTATGCTTAATATTTATGAGATTCATATGGGCAAGGCATGCCAATAACACTGGGCAACCAAAGTGATATGGCAGATGTGTAGGAAAAGCATTTAAAGTGCTTCTCAAATGAAAAGTTTTTTCGCAAAGTTCAATATTGAGGCACAAGTTTCGTTATCAACATATTTTTGCTTGTGTTGACTTGTGTAATTAACAGCATTTGCAGTGAGTTGTCGTTGTCGCATTGAGAAAATATAAACGAAGTGTCGGCAGTCTGCTTCGACCATCAAATGAGCAAAGACTACGCGACGATGCAGAAATAATTTGAATTTTTATTCAGTCTTCGAGAAATGAGCATTTCTGAATAATGTGAAAAAGATATACACACAGATATAGATACAATTGCACACTATATAGATATAGGCAAATGTATGTGAAATATCCCATGGCTGATGTGCAGTTGGTGAACGATCTGCTCCTCGATCTGCGGCACATGAAAAACGATTGTGTTAGTCGAGACATGAACAGTTCATATTCGAATATAGACTTACCAGTTTTCTCTGTCCATTTACTTACAGCTGGAACTGCTGCAGCGCAAGGTGGACGATCTATCGGATACGCAGAATATAGCTGAAGATCGGACAACCCGTACCAAGACCGAATATGCGGTGCTCCAGGCGCGATATCACATGCTCGAAGAGCAGTACCGAGAGGTTAGTATGTGAAAAAAGGAGTAAATTCAATTTTCTAATTAATTAAGTTTATTCGAAGTTTTAAATTGGTATCACCAAGAGATTTGCATATACTTAATGTTTTCCTTTTCCCTTCCAGTCGGAGCTGCGTGCAGAGGAGCGATTGGCCGAGGAGCAGAAGCGGCACCGCGAGATCCTGGCCCGCGTGGAGCGCGAAGCCTCGCTGCAGAACGAGAACTGCCAGATGAAGATCCGGGCCACCGAGATCGAGGCGTCGACGCTGCGGGAGGAGGCTGCTCGACTGCGTGTCCTGTGCGACAAGCAGGCCAACGACCTGCACCGCACCGAGGAGCAGTTGGAGCTGGCCCGCGACCAGATCGGCGTCCTGCAACAGGAGCACGAAGAGCAGGCGCAGGCGCTGCGCCGCCACGAGCAGGAGAAGAAGACCGCCGAGGACCTGATGATGGACCTAGGCCGCGAACTGCAGCGCGCCCGCGAGGAGAGTGGCGCCCGGGCGATGCCAACCACGTCGCCGGAGAGCATAAGACTGGAGGAGCTGCACCAGGAGCTCGAGGAGATGCGCCAGAAGAATCGATGTGAGTGGCGTGGATTAACTGAGGGTTAATGATCAGTTCAGGATGTTTATAGGATTTTTGTTAAACACCAAAAAATTGTTTTTACAAGTTCTTTGGTCCTTTTGGTTTTAATTAAACATGATTGAGTATAATTAAACTCTCTATTTTTCTCCTTTAGCACTCGAAGAGCAGAACGAGGAACTGCAGGCCACGATGCTGACTAACCAGGCCACCATGCTGACGAATGGCGTGGAACAGGGTCGCCATCTGCTGAACGGAACCCTTAACAGTCTGGCCCAGGAGCTGGAGGAGATGTCACAAGCCCAGGTGTGTAGTTTGAGCTTACCTGTACCGTCGCCTGCTTTCGCTTTTAGTGTAGTCCAATCCGTCATCCCCACACCCACTATTACACAGTTTAGAAGCCAAATCCAAAAGCACACGCACAGTCACCGCAAAAGAAAAACTGATGAAATGCTATAAAAACCTATTGACCGTACCGTACTGCCCTGCGTTTACTTTAAAATATATATTTTATCTGCCCACATGTGTATTTAAATTGACATTTATTGTATTACAGGATTCTGTGGATTCAGCCACATTAGCATCCTTAAGTCAGGTAATGCTTCAATCACGCAAAAGCCACAAACAAAAACGAAAAATTAATAAAACACGGTTTTGGAGCCATTGTGCACGCATTGCAGTTTGACTTAAACTAAAATTGACCTAAAATTAATGTTGGTTCGTGGTATTCTAACTTATCAAACTCATCAAGGACATATTTTCACATTGTCTAACATTCATTCGTGTATATAAAAACTCAAAAAACTGTATATTTTCCGTGTTTATATTTTTCCTTAAGCTTGACCTAAATACTAATGAAAACCTATGTCTTACAGCTGCAACAGGCCTTCCAGGAAAAAGAGGACGAAAATGTCCGGCTTAAGCACTACATTGATACCATCCTACTCAACATCGTAGAGAACTATCCTCAGTTGCTGGAGGTCAAGCCCATGGAGCGGAAGTAAAGCAGCCAACTGGAAAAACAAACCAACAAATCCCTAGGCATTCTGGAGAGCGCCACAACCACCTAACATTAACTAAAATGAATAAACTAACTAACCATACTTTATGTTAACTTTTTAAGCTACACTCTATACATGTATTTATGCGTAACTTAAGTCATAATTTATTTTATAACAATTTAATGTAGTTTTTTAAACAAAAACAACACAGAAAGAGAACACAAAGATTGCATGTCAAAATGATGAAAAAAGTCCTTAATTCGATTAGATAATGTTTTGTATAAAGAGAGTTTAAAATTGTGTAAATGTTTATTTTTCGTTGTTTCTAGTTTGAGTTTTGTATAGTGCGTGTTGTTGATCCCTAAAGATATTACTTATAAATATTGTTAGATCTTAATACTAAACTCGTTTAATCTATAATGAAATGGAGCCCAATTTATTGATCCAATGAAAAAATGAGTATTGCAAATGTGTATAGCATTAAATGAGGAACTTTTATGGAGTGTTAATGTTTCAATTTCCAATTTTGTTAAGGCAGCTAAGAAGGTTTTTGCTAGCACAAATTTCACATTTTACACTTTCCATTTATTTTGTATTCAAATATTATTTTACAATTTCTCTACTCTTTCTATTTTAAATTTGTACTCTCAGAAATATCTTTCTTAGTTTGCCTCTGAAGTAGTTACAAGAATCTATAAAAAATTTGCGTTTATGGTATGGACAATCCCAGGATACGAAGGCAAAGTTTTAGTTTGAAGTGGATCTAAATGAAAGCAATTATCACTAGTAAGAGTTATTCAATTGATAACTTATATCGTAACCCTCAAACATATGTCAATGTATAGCACAGTTAAAACTAAACTTACTCTGCATATATAACCCAACATTAAATGGACGTAATGTGCAAACATTTAGGGATGGCACATGAAAAGGTCTCACCCAGGAACTCCAAGCGAAAGCGATCCCTAATAGCCTAAGCAACAGAACAACTCAAGCGGTCAACCCTAATTTAGGTATGATAATATCCAAGCAACAGAAGAATCGAGATGAAATCTTTAATCAAAATTTGATTGCCTTAAACGGAAGTTTTTAAAGTGTTTTAAGGCCTAGATAACTCTAACAAAAAAGTCCGTAACGTTTAATGACATACTAAATAATATGGAGTTTTAAATGTAATTTACAAGATGCAAGTCGCAGAACTTATATCAAAATAAAAAGAGGAATATTTTATAAACAAAGACACCGCCTTTTTGCCTGGCCCTAAAACCAAAGCGATGCTAATTGGCGATACCCGTTCAAAAACAATGCACATAAATGTTTAATTTATTAAGGAAGCTCGACGTGGAGAACAGGTTCCCAGGGAAGATTGCGTAAGATATTTTTGATATTGTACGCCTTATATAAGCCCGGTTATGGAGCAGTCAAGGACAGAGAAGACATTGGAGTTGAACTTTCAAGATGTTTAAGCAGTGTTATCCTTTGGCCGCAGGTGTGCAGCTGAATATCCCTAATTGATTGGAACAGGAATAAGTTTATCTTTTGTATTTTTCAGTGCTGCTGTGTTTTGTCTTCGCCACAGCGCAGGTTGCGCCAAATGCAGAAATCGGTCGGATTACGATCCAAGTGCCGTTGCTGTCCAATGGGAAGCCCGTGATCCTGACCAATCAGGATAAAGAGGAAATCGCCACCGTGGAGGAGATTAGGCCAGGAAAGGTTCATGTTGTTCAGGAGGTATTGGTGCCACCAACGGTAAAGGCGGAGAACAAGATTAGGATTGCAAGATCAGTTTCGAATTCGGGAGGGTACAATCATGACGTGACCAATCCCGGAATTCCGAACCATGGAATTCCCAATCCTGGCATTCCAAATCATGGAATTCCCAATCGCGGTATCCCTACTGATGGCATACCCAATCCTGGAATTCCTAACCATGGTATTCCGAATCCTGGCATTCCAAATCATGGGATTCCGAATCGCGGTATTCCTAATGATGGCATACCCAATCCCGGTATTCCTAACCATGGTATTCCGAATCCAGGCATTCCCAATCACGGGATTCCGAATCGCGGTATCCCTAATGATGGCATACCTAATACTGGAATTCCTAATCATGGAATTCCCAATCCTGGCATTCCCAATCACGGGATTCCGAATCGCGGTATTCCTAATGATGGCATACCCAATCCTGGCATTCCGAACCATGGAATTCCCAACCCTGGCGTTCCGAACCACGGAATCCCCAATCCTGGTATTCCCAATCCCGACGCATCCGAACTTATGCCGGTTGTTGTGATGCCACCAAGTCGAACCACCACCTCACCCTTATCCACATCCATGCCCAAACGAGTGCCAACCAGGAATTGCTTCCACCTTCTGATGGGAGGCACTACCACCATGTCCCCAACGGATATGATGACAATGACACCGCCACCGATGGAGAACTGCGATCTCTTGTGCACCAAGGCCGAGTACTTGCCCATTTGTGCCCACAATGGAATCTGCGTCCACGAGTTCCCCAATCAATGCGTGATGGACACATTCAACTGCAAGCATCGGGACCTAGCCTTCCGTGCAGTGGACCAGGATGTCTGCCGGCTTGGAGTTTGTATGAGTAAATGCAAGGAGGAGGATCTGAAACTTTAAGATAGCAAGCATTAAGAGTATTAATCATATAAATCATAATAAAAAATTACAATATATTTTAAATGAAAATTACTTTGTATTATTTTATAAACCTAAAAGGCCACTTAAAAATATCATAAACTGATATATATATCGACAATAATTCGCTTTCTTAGCTTGTCAGAATTTTACCTTTTACACTTCATTTTTATAAATAGTAACTTATATATTAATAAATAGCTTGTAAGAAGCTAAATTGGGTTATAGGACTTATTAAAAATTTGTTCTCAAATTTAATTAAAAAATGATATTAATGAAATGTACAAGAACTTTTTTGAAGTTTTTATTATTAATGGTTTCAAGTCAGTAAACAATTTGAATCATAAGTTCTAAAATTTGGCAGAATCTCGTTTTGGTTTTTTTGTTTTTTCACGAAATATTTTCTGTTGGGTACAAAATAGACTTATGCATCAACTTCACAACCTCTTTTTCTTGGATTAGAACTACAACATAAAGTGAAAAATATTTTATCTTGTTCAATTTAGTTTTATTGAATATTAAATCTACAACCTTTCAACCGGAAACTGTTTTACAAGCCAAACTCCCTGAGATCTGACTCCAGGCAAAGGGGCTCCCAATCTTGCACGCATCGATGGTCGTCCACGGTCTGGAACATTTTCTGGGGATTGCGGCAGTTGTAAGCGGCCATGGCGCAACGGCTCTCAAACTTCAGAAGGCATTGCCCATTGGTGGCACAAACGGAAGGGTCTTTTTCACCACAATAATAGTCGCATTTATCCTCGGCTTGGTCCGCGTAAACCCTTTTGCCATGCTGATCAATGCTCAGACTGTTGCTGTTTGCCATGGGCATTACTTTGGCAGCAGAATAAGCAATTAGAGCTGAAAAAATATTAATCTCTTAATAAATTAATTATGTTTTTGCTTAAAAAACACGAACCCAGAAAGAATAGCACCAGGAGCTTCATTGTTGGTTTGTGATGGGCTTTCGGTTGAAACTGATGACGTTTATTTTTGTTGCATTTACCTTGCTGTGTTCGCAGCAACTGTTAAACTGTTGATTTTGCCACCAACTGGCCACATTTTATATACTCATACAAAACGGATTTCTGCTGATAAAGGCTTTTGGTTTCTGCTGCCGATGCTGCGGTCTGTTCTTCCTGATTCACTGCATAATCCTTTATTTTAACACCTGCCAGAGATATTAAATTGCATCATCATCAGCGGCATCAACAGCTTTGTCTGTCATTTTTATCCCGGCCTGCCTTGTAATTAAACGGTCCGCCTGGCTAAAAATAAAATTTTGAAATGCCTAATTTGCATATTTATGGTTAGCATTTTAATTTGCTTTCACTGTATCTGCCGCCTAAAAGTACGCTTTGAGTTGTGTACATTTTTTCTTAGTTGCGGGAAATTCCGCTTGTTTGCTGTAACGGCGCTTTGAAATGGAAAATTTTTAATTTGTTTTATCGTAAGGAAAATTCGTTAAGCTTCTTTGCAATGTTTTCATAGATTAATGCGATACAGTCGTGACCAGCTCAATAATATAAGATTGTAGCTATAGTGCTAAGCAATACCATATATTAAATAAATAAAATTGAGGGACATATAAATATAAATAAATATAAATGTTTTTATTATTTGTGATCTGTAAATTATAAACTTTTATAAGCTTTTTAAAAGAGGTAAGAGTTACAAAACAGGCAGAGAATGTTATATGTATGAATGCATTATGTTTATTAATGTAGCATATTTTATCTTAATTGGGTTTGATTAATGACAAACAAGTATATAAATTGTCAATATACAACGCTAAGTTTCTTATATGGTATATTTATATACTATATTTTTCTGACACCTTAAATTATTTTAATATTTATTTAGTGTCTCTTCAAATATACCTCATAATTTTCTTATTTTAAAATGTCACATCCAGACATCACGATCCATAAGGAAACGATTAAAGCAATGTGAGAGATATGTCCAGCTGGAAGAGAAGCATTCCCCATCCCCTTTCCCATCATCAAAGTGCTAATCTCAGCTCACTGGTCCGTTCAAGCGCAACCAAAAACCTGTTAGCAACTCGTGTGTTGAGAATTTACATAAAAAACAAATAATAACATGAACAAATGTTATTAAACAAACCGTTTGCAAGGCTGGTTACGTTTAAGGGAACGCGCAAAGCCTTTATAAAGTGCCAACATTTGGGGGAAGAGTCACAGAACACCTTTGAGTGTCGAAAAGGAACGCAAGTGTGGATTATCTGAGAATCATGAAATTTATTTTGGTGTTAGGTAAGTAAACGTTGTAATGTTGTATATAAAGAGATCAATAGAAGAAATCAAGAAAATGAGCAAGTTTAATTATTTTGATTTTAGACTTCAACTGATAAAATGGCTCTCTAAATCTAAAAGTGTATTAAAAAAAAATTTATATTTCTATTTTGGACATTATCTTTAATTTTGAATAGCAATTCCAATTCTTTCCTGTTTTTAAAAAGCAGTCAATACCAATAATTTGGAATTTAATAATGTTTAAAAATGTAATAGTGGCCACTTAAAAATACAGTTAAAAATGCAAGAATAAATATTATTTCTGTCTCACGTACAACAAAAATATAAAGTAAAACCTCGAACTTCCGCAGCCATCCTTTCGCTGGGACAAGCCGCAGAGGTGCCCCAAGCCACGGAAGCCACAACGACAACCACGGCGGGGAAGTCCCAGCAAACTGAGCTGCCCGCTCACATCCAGAACCTGATAACCAGCCACGTCAATCATGTGCTCCAGCACATAAAGAACAAACCTCAGGGCTCGAACACATTGACTGGGCCGGTGGATTGGAATGGGAGTGGGAGTGGGAGTGGCGCGCCAGTGGTCAAGCCCTATCCAGATCTCCTTCCACCATTGGCACACTCTGGTGATGTCCTTGCCACTCCCCCTGCCAACCGCCCAGAGGTTGCACCTGCGTTGCAATCTGGCCTACAGCCGGTGCAAGCTGGCCATCCACAGGTGAGGGTTACCAATCACCAGGCCACCGGTACTCTGATCCACCAAGGAAGGCCGGTGGTGCAGAACAAGGTGGTGATGCCGCCGGTGGAGCAGGTGGTGCTCCCGCTGCCCGGTCAAGAACCCATCGATGTGGCCGAAAAGCTCCATAAACTGCATCAGCATGTGACAAAGGTGATGCAACAGGCTGAGAAGCAAATTCCTTTGGCTGTGAACCAAGCAATTAAACAAAAGAAGGAACATCAAGCGCAGAAAGAAAAGGAGCAGCTCCAAAAGGATAAGGAAAGTAGCAAGGAACACGAAAAAGACAAGGAAGATAAGGGGGATCATAAGGATCAGGAGTCATCCGAAACCACTCCCCATCCAAGTGCATCCAAAACGGGTCGCGCTCTAGTAATTCCCGACAAAGTATCCAATATAGTCAACAAAGTCCATGCCCACATCCCCCAACTGATTTCCCTGCATCGCGAGGAAATGAAACTGGGAAAATGTAATTTCCAGTGTCCCAAAGCAGCTTTATCCGTATGTGCCAGCAATGGCAAGTGTGTGGTCAATTTTCCAGGCCAATGTGAACTGAGTCAATGGAACTGCTTCAACACCAAGAACGGTAATGGCTTAATTACACCTTCGAATAATTCGATATTTAATATGCTAAATCTATTCTTTATTTTGTGCAGTTTTCCACCAGGTGCACGATGCCGAGTGCCAGAACACAATCACGTGCTATCAGAGGGATATGATGTAACCTATCCCGGGGGAGGCGAAGCAATTACTCAAACGAATTTACATAATATTCCAAGACAAATATGAAAACTTAAACTTAAATTCAAAATAAAGGTACTCAAAAAATTTATAGACATTATGCTTTCTTTATTTTTAGATGTGGATGTGAAAAAGCAACTATTTTAAATTAAATACGGTATATATTTGAAAAACTGGTCCAAGTTATAAAACTCTCTTTGGCTTGTAGAAATTCTTGTAAATTTGCATTCTGAAAGTTATATATGAGACCTCAGTACAAACAAATACATTTATTTAAATTCTTCCCAAAAAAAAGGACCTTAGATCATAAAATTAAAAATTTTTTCATTTAAATTTCGGAATAAATATGGAATTTATTTTTACAACACAATCTTCAACATATTAGGGAAAATAATCAGTATCGTGTCCCACTTTACTTCCTTAGCGAATAAGCAACCACATTCCATTTCCACGCCATTTTCCGTATCTGCCGAGAGTTGTTTGCATGACATTTTATCTTCACTTTTGCCACACTTTCACAATTGCCGGGAAATCGCAGGGATGTCCCATCTGCTCCTGGCAAGCGAACGATTGCGCGGCAATCATCCAATTTGTCAAAATGGCTTATTAACGGATTTGGGTAATAGCACCGCCCGAGAACGGGCCACGAGCGTATCGGAGTTGGCTCAAATAAATGCCATTATCATTGATTTGCCAATACAAATGCCACAAAACTGACAGCGCCCAGGGGATGGGGTTTGGCGTTCGAGATTGGAGCTTGGCCAAAAGCGGAACAGACAGCTGGGTACCGACTTGGCCAACACTTATTCAGAGCGCTTATCACTGAAATGTTGCCACATGTAGCGCTGCTGCGCAGGATCCCCGAATGGAAACTGGGACCCGTTTCGAATGTGAGACCACCAAGCGATAACTGCTGAAAATGGTCTATGCAAATTGCAGTTTCGCCAATTAAAAAGCACTTTTGGTCAGCTAACGGAGTTCAAGGGAAGTTCACAAATGGCTTGGTGTTTTCTTCTGTTTCTTCTTTTTTGTTATCTCAGAAAAAGATTGCTATCTCGTTGTGGGCACCTATCAATTCCTCCAACCTATATTTTACATATATCCATGAATCAACATGGTAGGTTCGGCCAGGCCCCCATCCTTGGCTGTTAACTATTCGCTGTAGCATGCGGAATCTACGACATCTATTCGCCTTTTGGGGCCCATAAATTTTCCACTTTTTCATCCGCGGTTCCCCCGGGAGATCTTCGGACTCCAGCCCCTCTGTTCAATTCTCCGCCGTGTTCTACAAATGTTTGACTTAGTTTCGCCCCATCTGACTGCCTGCTGCGTGTCTGGACTTCTTTTCTCTGTTTTTGGCCAGGTCCGCAGTGCCACGCATGCGTCTTGGCCATTATATTCCCTTTTCCCCGCTGGAAAAAAGCACAAAAAAAGCGCCGTACAAAAAAAGCGCCGTTAACTCTGCCGCTCGCTTATCTCAGCCAAATGCTTTGGTTTGTGGCTTTAGCTTAGCCACACTTACTTCTCCCAGTGCACTGTACGGAAAACCTCAATATTATGAAGAAAAATAGTATCTTGCAGACTTTCTCGATATATATTTACGGTTTTCAATTATATTAAAATATTTGTATTGCCTCTAAATTAGCCTAATAATTGACTATTATTCAAAATCAATTAATAAATAAATATAGGTTTTTTTTAAAGTTAATGGAATTGAAACCATATTTTTTATCATGCTTTGAAATCACTGCATAAGCAATAATTTTTGGTTCACCAAAACATTTTATTTTTTAAATTCTTATTTAAAGTTAAAATCTTTAATTAAATTAATTGTTCAAATTTCAATTTTTGATAAAAACTTTTTTGATCTAAATGTTATGACTTTTAGTTATATTACTAAATTAAGATTTGATACACTTATTGTTAGTAAAAAAAAAGTTAGTTAGTTATTATGTGAAAACATTTTAAGCAAAATTTAAAAAAAAATTCATAAAAATAAATGTTGGCTTTTATGCTTTTAGGGGTCATAAAAATATTATACCTAGATATATAAGAAACATGTTCTACATTGTATGTTTAGACTTACTTAACCATTTCAATAATTCAAAAACAAAAAAATAAAACAAAAACAATTTGGTTTTGTTTCCGTTAAAGTTATTAAGAAGATATTAAAATATCTTATTTGATCTGAAAAACTAGGGGGAAAAAAGAAAGTCAAACATTATGTTCTTGTACATTTCTACATTTATTGTTAATTTTGCATTATTGCTCTTTTTGCAGTGTGTGTAGGCTGTCTCTGGTTAATGCCGAATGCGTGAACTGTGGGCCGTGCTGCATTTGTTGGCTTGGATAGCCCCGGCTGCAGCCATCAAGCCAACCAGCTTCTGCTCCTGCTGGCGATTCTGCTCCTTTGGATGCAGAGCGGAGCGGAAATGCAATTAACACTTTGGGCCGTAATTGCGTGCCAAATGCATTTCGTTGGCTCTGTGGCCGGTTCACATTGGCAATGGCCAGTGGAGAATCAGTGAAGTGGAGGCAGAAACAGGAATATGGGTTCCTACTAGCAGTCTTGTTTTGATTTTCTTGGCTCATTTGCAAGAAATGTGCCCATAAATCAATTTCGAAATGCTTGTTGACTACTGTCTTCTCTGCAATACTTCTCAGTAGAGCTCCTTTCTCCTATCTGCACTCCTTGTTTGTGGAGGTGGCATTCTCGGAAGCTTCAAAGTTTTAAAAAGGTTACATGAGCTTCAAGTAAAATGCTATTTCTTGGGCCTTCAGGTATTTGAAAAATTTCTGGGTGGCTTTACAGGGTGTTGTTAGGAATTCTGGTGAAATGTTCGCCTTTATGTAGCATTTATGCCTTTAAAGTTATTTAATTATCTTTTATAGAAGAATCGTCCGTTCGGTAACAAATTCTGAATATTTATTGATTATTCCAAATCGAGATTTATGGATTATTGTTTGACTGCAAATAACAATGAGTATTTATGATCGCATTCCAAAATAGCCAGCAACAAAAAATTTCCTTTTTTATTTACTTTGAGTTATGGAATAGAAGAGAATTTTACCAAATGATTTCTTAGGCTGTTATTAAAGAAAAAGTTTATTTTTTTGCCTCTTCTTTATTCTTAACTTGATCCCCTGAACCATATAATTTCGCTTTCATTTTATGTTCTGCGAACCATAAATTGGCTCCTTAACTTGTTTTATTCTCTACCAATTATCCGCGATTTCCACGCAAATGCCTACCAATTTGGTAATTCCTGGTGGGAATGACTTGCCGCAGCATTTCCTGTTCTCTGATTCTCCCACATTAAATGCTCGCCCCAACTTTGTTTTTCATTTAAGTGAAATTAATTGAGTAATTTGATGCGAAATGTTTGCGACACGCAGAGGAAAAGATGGAAAAAGTGGGGAAAATGAAAACAATTCCACAACCAAGACCGAGAAGGGGGCGGTGGGCGGAGGGCGGATAGGGAAATGCGGCAGATGCAGATTATAAAATGCCTGGCGGCCCGAGCAGTTGAACCGGACTGAAAGGAGGCCAGGCAACAGAATTTAATATAAAGCATATTAACTTTGATGGCAAATGACCGTGGGGCAACGGGGGGGAGTGGAAAGGGGACGTGGGGGCGGTCTCACGGGGGAGGGGCCGATCTGGGCCCAGTCCAACAACACATGTTTGATGATGATGCGCGCTTTTGAAGTCGCTGGCAGTTAGGACCGTCGTGGGTTCCAGCCGCCTGACAACCGTTTAAAAAGGTTTTATTTACACCGAAGACAGCAGCTGAAGCGGGACAGCACTAGGCAGCCAGAGGGAGACAGGTAGCCCAGAATCGGTCTTGGCCTGGTCCAATGTGCAGCGCAATTAAGTTGCCAACAACTTTGAAATTATGCAATTATGGGTATGAGAAATTGCCTGGAAATTACACGAGGGACTTGACGAACTGCAGAAGCCAAGAAGAGGAGTGCACTCAAAAAAAGGTGAAAAACATTATTTTTGAATTAGTTTTTTATTTAAATATTTCTAAGTCATTGATCGTAAAATTAATCAGCAAGGGAAGTTGTTGATGAGTATTGACACCAATTTGAATTCTTTAAATATATATCTTACATTTATTTCAATAAATAAATAAACCATTGAAAATAGGTAAAATAAGTTTTGTCCTTTTTCAAATTCAAAATAATTACTTTCTAATTGTCATATAGAGATAAACAAAAATTCATTCCAATTTAATTGGTTGGAAAACAACCAACTTTCCACCTTCCGAAGTTTAAGAAATTTTTTTTTTCAGTGCAGAAGCAGCTAAAGTGGAGCTTAAAACAGCTCAAGTGGAGCTGGGCTCCCGACTCAGAGCCTACTTGATTATTTATTAAAACGAAAGTTAAACAGCGAAAGGAAGCAATTTTCCATATAAAAGAAGCCAACTTCGCTGCTGAGGAAGCCGGGATCGGGATTCGCCGGCCATGTGTCTATGCAATTTTTGCGGCCCCCTCCTGGGCGTAATTGCCATGTTTAAAGTGTGATTAATTTGTAATCATCAAAAAGGCAAAAACAGCCATGTAGAGAAGAACTCCTCTGCTCCCGAGAAGCTCGGCAAATGTTTGCATTTTAAGTTTGCCAGGCAGAAAGGCAGAAACGAAACGAAGTCAAAGTAAAATCCAGAGCCAAAGACAGTAATCGCCTCGGGGCGGCCAGCGAGAGGGGGCGTGGCGGGGCAGTAGAAGTGCTGGACAACAGCGTGTTCTCTAAGTAATTGAGTTTGCTCGCCGAGGCGTTGAAAGTGGCCGAGAATCGAGAAAATTGGGGAAGTGCCGGCAGTGGAGGTAATGAGCAAGCAAAGCTATATGCATAATGTTCGAGACCCCACTAATATGTTACAGAATCATGATTGGCCAACACAAAAGCTCGGAGCACTAATATTACTTAAAGTTTTCCACTTCAACGTTGCCAGAAAATGGGAAAGGACTTCCTCCACCCAATAAAGAATTACAAATATAATGATTGAAAACATTTTTTACAAAAATTAACAAAACGCAAGCAGTGGCGGATCCAGGATTTGGTTT